GGTGTTTTTGCCTCATTTTGTTTTTTACTTCAAAATAAGATATGTGCAGTGTGCATAGGAATTTGTTCATAGTTTTTTTTAAACTGTAGTCTGGCCCTCCAACAGTCTGAGTGACAGTGAACTGGCCCCCTGTTTAAAAAAGTTTGAGGACCCCTGGTCTAGAACATAAGGTTCCAAACTTATTGGGCCTGTTTGTCTCTTTTCAGAAAAATTTCTCAGCACCCCCTGGCAATTAAAAACTTTTGTACTGTAGGCTGTAATCCAAAATCACTGGGTGATATTGTCCACTTGGGAAAGCACTGGTCTCGGAGCTTAACCTATATAGCATGGGTGACTGCTGGTATTTGAAATGCCTTGACAGTGTCCAGCATCATAGCAACAGACCTTCCTGTTTGATAGTACTGTGACATAACTAGTACATTAACATGTTCCAACCACTCACTGATAGGTATAGAAAATACTTATTAAGTGCGTCGAATGTTTCAAGCAGAAGCTGAACTAGAGATGCAAAGGTAACACAAAAACATGGGCTTTATGGGGCTTGTAGTGTAGTTGGAGACGCCTAAGCCAGTAAGTACAACATGTAAACGGTGTTATGATTTAAGTATGTCTGGGATATAAACTAAGCGTAGCCACTAAAAGCTTCAGAGATGCACTTGAAAGATTGGGGGGCCAGGGAGCGATGCTTCTAAAAAGACCAGTCTGGGGAGCGATGCTTCTAAAAAGACCAGTCTGCACCATGTTGTTTTTCTGCCAGTTGCCCATGTTTTCAGAAACAGTTGGCCAGCTTAGGTGGAATATGGAAAAATTACCATTCTTCCTTCTGGCAGAGCTGTTTCTTATTAAAAATGGAGCACATATGAAAAATAATGCTAATTGGAGGATGCTGTTACTGTAAAAGGGGTGGTGGTAAGTTGTAAATATTTTAAATACTTTATAAGAAAGAGCTCTTTACTTCATATTTACATTTGATTCTGGCTTCTTATAGTCTATCCAAATATTTTGAAAGTAAGCTTGCTTATTACCCAGGCCAGAATTTTTGAAATAAATGTGTTATGACATCTAATATCTTAAGATAAGGTTACACCTTGTAGAGTTTTAATATACTTGTTACATTTCATTGTTGCAATATGGAGAAAGGACCCATAAAGGGTGGTATGTCCATAAATACTTAAAACACTAAAGCAAAAGTATACACACCTTTAAGGAACAGATAAAATAAAGCTATATTTTTAAAGACTGTATAAAAGGGGGAAAGCAAAGGTACTGAGAACAGGATTCAGGTTGATGCTTTACTTGGGTATAAATCACATAGGTGAGACGAATGGAGCCCAACAGTTAAGTTGTGGTTTCTTGTCAAGCACTTGGCTTTTGGGTTTGGTGTTGAATTCATTTGTGGGTGCTTGTAGGGGTAGGGTTATTATGAGTCGGGACCCACATAATGACAGTGCGTTTTTAGGATGAGGAGGACCTTGCAGGAGCCCTGGTGGCATAGTGGGTTACTGTTGGGCTGCTAACCCCAAGGTCAGTAGTTTGAAATCACCAGCCGCTCTGAGGGAGAAAGAGGCTTTCTGTTCCCGTAAAAAGTTGCAGTCTCAGCCACTGGGGAAGTTCTTCCCTGCCCTGTGTGGTTGAAGTGAGTCAGTGGCAGTGAATTTGGTTTGGTTTGGTTTGGTTTGGTGGTGCTATGGGGTAAGTTTTGGACTGCTGACCATGAGGTCGGTGGTTCAAATCACCAGGCTGTCCTGGGACCACCCTAGATTAAACCATCGGAAGGGACTTGATGGCAATGGCTTGGTTTGAGGGGATTTGGTTATGTTCTGTAGGGAAGTTCCTTGCGTAACATCAGCTGAGCTGGTGAGTTGTCACCGAAGCCTTCGTGGGGAGCAGGAGAAGGGAGCAGGCCACACATTTTCAGTGTTTTCATTCTAACCATCAGTCTTAGAGGGGTGTCGAGACTTCATCCCATTGGTTTTGGACATGTTATGAGGCTAACCAAAAGGTTGGAGGTTGAATCCCACCCAGAGATCCCATGGAGGAGGAATCTGGCGACCTACTGAAAAGCCAGCCATTGAAAACCTTTCTACTCTGACAACTTGGGATTGCCATGAGTCGGAGTCCGTTTGGTGGCAACTGGTTAACCGCTCAGGCTGGGAGTTCCTTCACCTAAAACCTCAGTACCTGTTCTGAGGGAATAAAAGTTGTTCTCCTCTGCTGGTCACCTTTCACCCCCAACCAAGTGTGGAACTAAGACCGCTGAAGTGTGGGGTAGCAGCGTCTTCGTGTCCCACTAAGAGAAGGGATGAAAGGAGGAATACACTGATTTTTCCCGAGTCAGACCTAACCCAATTAGGGGGTCAGGGGTAAATAATCCCTTCTTTTCTATTCCTTCTGAAACAGCGCGGAGGAACACAGAGCATTTGTACTGTACAGCTTCTTCGGGAAAACGCTTTCTGAGCACCTGGTAACGACAGACTTTTGGAGTGTGTTCATTATTAGGAACAACTTGTACCAAGCATTGATTTACAATTGATTTTGAGAAGTGGGTCATGTTTGTGAATGTCAAGAGTATTGCACTTGGTAAGAGATGGCATTTGGGATGTATTAGTAAGGGCTCAGTGTTCGCCTGAGAGCTTACCAAGAGGTTTCCTATAACCTTGGGCAAATTACTATAAGCCCCCATGTTTCCTTATCTATAAAGTTTGGGCTGCAGTGGGTTAAGCACGGACTGCTAACAGATAGGTCAGCTGTTGAAGCCACCAGCCACTTGGGAGAATGTTGTGGCTTTTTGCGTCCCTAAAAATGTGTCGCCTCAGAAACCTTATGTAGCAGTTCCAGTCTGCCCCGTAGGATTACCGTGAGTCAGATCAGCTATGGTGTTGCTTTGTTTTGTCTTGTGACTTACTACAGGTTTTACATTTAACATACCTGCATAATCGTGCCTTTAACAGAGTTGTATTGTTGCTTTTGTTGTCCTGTATTCCCCTATTCTGTGGGGATATTAATCATTTTCTTGTAGATTGATGGCTATCATTTTATTAATGTCATTGACTATTACAAATGTCTACTTGGTAGGATAAGAGGTATTCAGGGGGTTAAAGGCCCATCCTCCCTTTCCCCTCCCCCCTCAATAATTATAATCATCAAAGACACAACATCTGTGACATCTGTCGTTCTTTTTCTTATGTGTATGTGTGCGCTTAAGTATTCTCTTTATAAAAGTGTAACTAATTACAGTACATCACCTCGTAATTGATATCTTGTAAGGCTTCTCCTTTTTGCTACTGAGATAAAATAGAATTTGTAAATTTGAGGATAGGTAAATGTGATTAATAATGTTTTGAATCTAGAACTGTCCTCTTACATCATCATGCTGCAGAACAGAAGGGCTTCACATGTGAATCACTTGACACATGATCTGTAAAGATAGAAACATTAATTCTAGAGGTTTAATTTTATGGAAAATAGACGGGTATGGCTTCATGTATTAGGAAAAGCATTGCACTGGTGACATCAGGATGCTTGACGTTTGATACTGGGGTCTGGACTAGAATCCAGGTGATGCCTTTTAATTCTAGAATCCCAGGTGCAAAGTTAGGTTAGCATGAAGAGGTGTGAACTCTTTGCTGTGTTTTGTGTTTTTAACCCCCACTTCCTTTGCCTTTCAGCATTAACTGGAAGGAAAATGTCCCTGTATGATGACCTGGGAGTGGAGACCAGTGATTCGAAAACAGAAGGCTGGTCCAAAAACTTCAAGCTTCTGCAGTCTCAGCTTCAGGTGAAGAAGGCAGCTCTCACGCAAGCAAAGGTAAACTGAAAGTGGGAGAGATGTCTCTAGGGTGGGATTTATAAGGGAAGGAGGCGTTGAGTCAAAAAGAAGGAAGAGCATAAGGTTTATTTGCATCTCCTGTTTCCTGGAATTAAAAGCTTCCAGGGTATTCCAAGCAATAATGCTGGTTTTCAGACTTCAGTGTGCTAAAAACCCCTTGAGAACTTGCTTCAGATGCAGGTGGAGAACCATTTTCCTGATACTCTGCCAAAGTTTGGTTATGGGATGGGGTCCCTGGCACCTGCATTTTTAAATCGCTTTCCTGTTTGTATCATTGTTGTGGGTGGCTTACAAGCAGCGCTTTGAGAAATGCAGTTCTCACTCGGCTGCTGGCTGTGCGTGCGTGGTTGAAGTGTCAGTTGATTCTGACTATGGAGCATGTTGTTTTTGTCCCCATGGCAAACCTGGGACATTGGCTATAGACTTTCAACAGTTCAACAGGTAGAGCATTAAAAGCCTGGTTGTTGACTCGATACTTAATACTATTACAATTTTACTGTCAGATATTTTTAGAAATGGGATAGTATTATGGTTTGTTATAAGGGCCCCTGATGGCGTAGTAGTTATTCGTTGGGCTGTTAACTTCAAGGTCAACAGTTCAAAACCACCAGCTGCTCCTGGTGGAGCAATGAAACTCTATTCCCATGAAGTTAGAGTCTCAGAAGCCCACAGGGGTAGTTGCCTATCCTGTAGTCACTATGAGTCAGAATTGACTAGATGGCAGCGAGTCAGGCCATCGGGAATGTTTATTAACATTTGTGGGAGGTGCTATCTGATGGCTTTAAAAAAGGGTTGAGAAATTATTACAGAGATGGACATTGAAAAAATGACATATGGGATTTTCTTAAAAATAGTCCGGGGCAGGGGGTTAGGGCAATAAATGAAACAAAATTGACCAAGAATTAATCATCGTTGATGCTGGGTGAGAGATACTTAAGAATTCATCAAACTTCTCCCTCTAATTTTGTTTTTTTGTGAAATTTTCCATAATAAGTTTTATGTTCTATTTTGTCTTTTACTACATCATCATTTTTCCAGGTGTATATATATATGCATACATACATACATACACATATTTTGCTCTGTTCAGTTTCTTTAATCTGTGCAAATTTTGTGTTTAACTTTTGCTATGCATTTAAGTTGCTTTAAAAAAAGTTTTATATCCCAATGCCCATATCATTTTAGTATTAATTTAATTCAAGGCCTAATCTTGGCAAAGTAACTGGGGCTATGCCAATACTTTCTAACATGAACTCATTTGTACTTTGTGTAAACATAAATGGTTTATGGTCTTGGTTCGATGGAAGATAATAAAATAGAAAGGCAGAGTCAGCAGCACACTAGAGCTAGCTACAGTATTGAGGGGAGCCCTGGTGGCAGAGGGGGTTACATATTAGGCAGCTACCTCGAGATCAGCACTTTGAAACCCTCCGCTGCTCCACAGGCAAAAGATGAGGCTTTCTACTCCCGTAAAGATTTCCAGTCTCGAGAACCAAGAGGGGCAGTTCGATTCTGTCCTACACGGGTCACTGTGAGTCAGAATCAGCTTGATGGCAGTGAGTTTATTTTGTTTTTTGCCGTTGTAAATGCCGCATGAGATAATTCTTAATTACCAGTTTAAAAATTGCCAGCTTTGTGGGTTACTTGCAGCTAAATTTTTTAAGTCCTGGATAATTTGTTCCTTCCTGCCTAGTGCATTCCTGAATTACTTTCTTTATCCAGTGTTTATTTAGAAACTATAGCTTTCAAACTAGATGACACATGGAGAATTAAGAATATCAGTCCTTCCCAAATACTTATTTAAAAGCTTAGTATAAATAATTTATAGATCCCATGGATTATCTTCACTCTTTTTAACTCATGTGAGAAGTAAGAGTTAATTGCTAATGAGCAAGGGATTATGGTTTTATATGGAGCCTAATCTCCTAGATATCGTCTTCAATATCTCCTTAAGTTTAATACAGGCTTATCTTTTTATTTATTCAAATATGTTAGTTTCAGCTACTAGCAAATCTCTTGAGATTCAGATTGATTTTTCATTTGGTTAAATAAAAAGTTGTGAAATCACTGCTGGTAACTTTTTAACATTTATTTCAACATGTTCTGTAAAGTTAGTATTGTGATTTAGGGGTATGTGTAGAAGTAAAGATGTAAGTATTAACTAAATTAATGAATTTACGAGGTAACCAATTACTCAGAGTAATAGGTGGGCCTAACCAAATCTGTAAAATATTTAGTAGAGAAGAGTTTACATATGTTCAAAAGATAAGGCTGTAGTTGTATTTTTATCTTCATTTCAAAGTATCTATATTGATTGCCCAAAAAATAATAGAGAATTATGTGATTCTGATAGTCCTTTAAACTTGCTTAGTCACTTTGTGAATTGTGTTTGGATTCAATTTTGTTTATTTAAATTTATAAGAATTTTTTAAATCAGAGAGATGAAGCCTTTTGTAATGATAACAATGAAACTTTATAACTTTTTCAAAGTAGGTAAAAAAATTATACCTTTGTAATGAAAGAAGATTCCATAGTCCCACCACATCCTCAAAGCTGGCGGTGCTGGCAGACAAGTGGCTGTGCCTCGCGGGTGGGCAGGAGGACATGCAGCACGCCATGGCACCTACCCGGGTTCTCACCCAAAGCTCGACGCTGAATCGCATCGTGGCTGTACCTAACCTCCCTTTTCCTGGGAGTGTGGGAGTAGAGAAGCAAGTTAACTAGCTACGTGTGTCCCCCAGGAATAATCTCACAGCTCTGGAATGTACAACATTTTATCAAACAGTGTTGGGGGGAAAAAGGAAACAAAGTTGGCGGAGCAGGGAAGAGAGACTTCTGAGTCAGGAGACTAAGGGGATTTTAAAACCAGGTATGTTAGGGCAGCTTTGGTAGGATTCTGATTTTTAGGGGGGGAAACAAACAAACAAACAAAAAAACTGTTTTAAAAAATTTTAGAGGCCAGGATAGCAAATCTGAATATGAATAGGTAGGAGAAGATAACGGGGAATTGGTGGTTTTACTCTGTGCGATGATAGTGTTTTGGTTATGTAGGAACGTGTCCATAGTTCAGGGGAAATAGTGTGCTGAAGTATGTAAGGATGAAGTGTCATGAGCTCCAAGTGTTTTCCCAAGCAGTTTAGCAAAAAATACAGATGTCAGATAATCAAACATGGTAAACTCTTTATGGCCAATGGTATATAAATGGTCATTCCTTTAAAAAACTTTTTTTTTCTGTAGGTTCATAATATAATGGGGAGAGTAGCTGAATTTTATATATATCCTGGTAAGAGGAAAAAGCTAATCCACGAGGCTCTTTTGTGCAGGATATAAAAACAGATCCATTCCTTATGAAAGGGCCGCACAAAGTGTAATGTGCTTATAGATTTTCATGACTGTGGTCAGAGGGAAAATGCAACAAAATACAGATTGGAATGAAAGGGACCGGATCTGCAGTAAACCTCTTATAAAAATGTAAAAGAAATCAGTTTTAAAATTCTAAAGGAAATCCTATATGTATATAGTTATGCTGATAACGGCATTAAAAACCTGTTTGAATATTGTGATTTTTCTTGGGCGTTAAAGGTTTGTTTCAAGACCAAAATAAAATTTGCCACAAATTGTGTGAATTTCTATTTGACACTTCAATGCACTTTTCTTGTTCTTTTGGTTTGGTTTGGTTTTTCATTTTAGAGCCAGCGGACAAAGCAAAGTACAGTCCTTGCCCCAGTAATTGACCTGAAGCGAGGGGGCTCTTCTGATGACCGGCAGATTGTGGACACCCCACCGCACGTAGCAGCTGGCCTGAAGGTAAGCCCACACACAGGAGGCAGCATGCCATGTTGCTGTTTGACCTTTCCACAATGTTATTTTAGGTGTGTGTCACCTAGGCTTCTCAGACACTCAACAGGCAATCCCGAGAAATCTGCTCTGTGTCATCAATGTAATTTGTATTCTTATCAATTTTAAGACAACGCTATATTGATCACGTTTCATGGCTTTATTGTGTTCCAATTTTTGCTGTCATAGGCATGTTAATGCTTCTTGTTTTATTATTGGTTAAAATAAAGGGGTTTAAAAGATTTCTGGCTCCTTGGAGTGGTGGTTACATGTTGGGCTGTGATTCGCAAAATCAGCAGTTTGATCCTTTGGAGAAAGAAAGAGCTTTCGACTCCCTTAAAAAGTTGCCATCTCAGAAATTCAGAGAAGTTCTCCCCTGTCCTATAGGGTTGCTATGATGGGCATCCACTCAGTGGCAGTGAGTTGAGAACCTTTCGTAGTGCCACCACCTGTCACGTTGTTGTCTTGTGGCGGCTTGCATATGCTATATGCTGAAAGCTATACCCAACAGTGTTTCAGATGTCAACCGCAGTACCTGCCGTGCACAGAGTTCACCAGAGCCTCCAGACTAAGACAACTAGGGAAAAGACCTGGCATTCTACTTTGTTGGAAATAATCCATGGCCACCGAAGACTCACAGTAGAACATAGTGTGATTACAGTTGATCCCGAGGCTTGTGCGGGACAGGGTAACTTTTTGTTTATTTGATCACCGTGAGTCAGTCGATAAACCTACGATGTTAGTTATGTTCAGAAAACAAACTGCCCATGAGTGGTGGCCCGGAACTACCATATACATATTATTTGCATGCCCTCCTTGCTTTGTTATGATACATATTAATCAGGTAGGTGTGGCTCTGCTGTTGTGTATGAATATTATTGAAAGTTTACCCCTGTGTTGGACTGGGTTGACTAGAGAAACAAATCCAAGGACAGTCATTTGTGTGTAAGAGAGAGCTTTATATCAAAGGGCAATTGTTTATTGAGAAAACATCCCAGCCCAGTCCACATCAAGTCCATAATTCCGATATTAGCCCATATGTCTGATATTAGTCCATAAATTCCTCTTTAGACTCACACTGTACATGCAATGATGCCAAATGCAGAAAGATCACAGGCTGCTGGGTAGAAAGTCTTGTGGATCCAGTGGTGGTAGAAGCATCTCCAAGCTGGCACAGGTGTCCATCCAGCTCTCTGAGTGTCTCAACAACAGCAAAGGGAAGGCAGAGAGTGGGTCCAGCCTCCAGTGAGCTGTTGATCGCCTTCACACCTCCGAATGAGGTCATCAAGTTGACAGATTATGTAACTACACACACACACACATACGCATGCAGAGATACAGTCAGCTCACTGTGAACTTTGGTCAGTGAGGATGAGGAGGTTCTGAAAAACAATACGTTCTAGATAAAACTGGAATTAGAATTCCTAGTTCACACTAGGCAAAATGAGGTCCAGCCAGAACTCAATGGGACTGCAGAAATGGTATTGGCGCCACATCTGACCTCCTTCCCGTCTCCGACTGATTACCACAAGACAGGTCAAAAGAGCCAACACCTTCTGACCCTGTGAATCCTATTCTGACACCAGTTGTCCCTGACACGACATTCTCCGTCTGTGGTTGGGATTGACCATTCCTTTCAGTAACCATACACACTCATGTTTATTAGGGAAGTTAACAATTGCAACACCTGCGAGAAAACCCAGAATACAGTTGTTCAGCCGGACAGTTTCCTTGCCATGCCTGCTGGCACATCACGTCTAGCCCCAGCCTCTTGACCTGACTTCTGCCATGCTTGGGCAATGTCACAAAGCTCTTTTGGGGCTGCTAGTAAGTGCCCAGAGGACATGCCACTCCATCATAGGCCTCCGCCTGAAGGCGCTCAGCTCTAGTGGGTCAGCAAAATGCAGCTCTCCCACTAGATTGCAGAGGCACCCCACTCCACAAGCCAGCCTCCTACCCCAAAGCACTTAGCTTTACTTGCTCTCTGCACTGGGAGGGCCACTGCTTTGTCTCATGCGCTAGCTCCTCCTGTTTGCGGTTACTGCTTCTCGGCTGCTTCCTGCTGTCACAGCTGTCTTTGGAATCAAACATATCAGGGCCAAAGGATGTGTGCCTCCCCTCTGGCTTTTCTATTTCACTGGGAGTGAGATCTCCCCCTCCTGCTTCCAGCAGGATGGCACTAACAACCTGACAACAGCCACAGGCAAGCTTGCAATCCAGTCAGTATCTTCTCCCACCTCTTAGCCAGACCCATCAGGACACCAGGAGTCTTGGAGTGACAAAGGTCATGACTAGAAGAACTGTATTTCACTGCATTGTAGACTGCCTTTCTCTGGACTTCACAAGTTTATGACTTTTACAGGGTGCAGTGTTAACACTTTTCTGTCATTCTTTATTAATGGAAATATTTGCATTTTCCTTCTTGGCCAGATTTCTGCCTTAGAAATTTCAACTTGTTGATGTATTAGGAAGGGACTCTTCCCTTCCCCCACCTGTAGAAATGACCAGATTCCATGTGAGACACAATCCTAACTGCATGCCTCTCCTTTCTTTTAGCTTTTCTATCCTCTCACCCCTCTCACTGAGCTTGCCAGGTCTCAGTGCTGTTCCCACAGGCGAATCGTCTGTCTGGAGAAAAAGGCATTCCACAGTCATGTGTGTTTTGCTGATTTCTAATCATTAAAATTTTTCCTCAAAATCTCTGCCTAAATTTTTTCTTACTAAATTTAATCAAAACTAGTTCATTGTCTTCTGTGATTGTTTATTGACTCTAGTATCTTTAATACTGTTCTTTTCCACCCCTTATTTAATTTTTCTTATGTTCTTTGCATAGCTAGATTTTTAATTGCAAGATAGTCCCATTGAGTGAATACATTGTAGCTTGCTCAAGCATTTTGTAATGGTAGAGCCATCCAGATCCAGATTTCGATGTCATTATTAGTAACACGTTAACGACCAGCTTTCCATAACGAGAGCTTTCCGCGTAGTATTTCCTGTAGGCTGGTGTTGCTGATGGCATTGGCAGACCAATGTTATGGCCATCTCGTTTCAGTGCCAGCTCTTTTCCAGCAAAGTAGTTAGTACCTATCTCTATAACACTACCTACAATATAGGACTGTTTGGGGTATTGACACTTTAATTTTTATTTAATTAAGCAAACGGATTTCTTCTTTATAGCTTTTAGAGAATCATGGTTATTAAAATTAAATTTATGTAGTAAAAGATACTTTTCTTCAACGTTTGAAATGACAAATAATTAGCCTTCATATTGACAATTTGTTCTTTCTGTGTTGCACACTTTGTGATAATAATATTACCATATATACTCGAGTATAAGCCAACCTGAATATCAGCCAAGGCACCTAATTTTACCACAAAAACAGCATTAAAAATGTGCTGAAAAAACTCGGTTTATGCACGAGTATATACGGTATATAAGTTGGCTGATTGTTAATTTCTTACCAGTCTTAATAATAACTGAAAAGACATCTTGTTAGGTACCTTTGCATTGTAAAAATGTCTTACATGAATATAAGGACCCCTGGTTGTGCTCTAGGTTAACCTTTGGACGCTAACCACAAGGTTCATGGTTCAAACCCACAAGCTGCTCTTTGGGAGAAAGAAGAGGCTGCGGCAATCTGCTCCCATAAGGATTTACAAAGCTCTAGAAACCCTGTTTAGGGCTGTTACGAGTCAGAAATGACTTGATGGCAGTAGGTTTGGTTTCTGGGTTTTATATGAATACAAATTTGCAACTACCCTTTGGGAAACCTAGGCTGAATAGATTTCTCTAAATTTTCCAGTGAGAGGATGTGGGAGGTAATTGTAGTTATTTTTTAATGCCTGTATTCATCAAATTATAGGGATTCTTCATTTTTAGTCATAAAGTGACGTTTATTTTACAATACAAAAGGTCAAAGTGAGTAGTACAATACAGGAATTGTTAGTTTCGGATCTGTGTTACTGAATAAATGCTGTCTTTATCATATCAGTTCTGTATTCACAGACAAAATCCACTGTGCGAACAGCCCTCGTGCCATGCTGTGTTTGCCATGTCCACTTCCTGAAAGTGGCAGGGGCTGGGTGCGCTAGGAAACTGAGCCGAGCTTTCTCGGGTGTCTTTGTTGACCACTTGAGTCCTCTTATTTTTACAGAGAATAACAGAAAGTTGTGCTAAAAAACTTGGTGGTTTTAGGGATGTTAGATCAAGAAGTGGATCATAGCTTTCAGAACTGTGTTTAGAATCAGGGCAGCCAGCCGAGGGTAAAGTCCTATTCCTGATCACGTTTTCTGGTCAGCTCTGCTCTCTCCCACTACTGTTAGTCTAGGTTCTTTATGAAGGCTATTATTTCTCTCAAAGAGTAGCTCACGTTTCTAAGTGTATGCAAGAGAAACGTAAAATGTCATCTGAACCAGATACCGTTAGAACTTAATAGACCTTTAGAACTTAATCATGATGCGCAGGGAATTCTACCTGCTTTTACCGGACTCTGCTGACATGCAGCGATGAACGGGATATATGCTCCTGCAGATTCATAAAAGGCCAAGAGGGTGTTTTTTAAAACCTCATTGGCTCCATGCACTCAAAATCTAGTGAGTCCATTGAATGGTGTCATTATAGGGATATGTTGTTATTCATGGGCTGCTTTGGTTTTTACTGTTTCTTAGAGTTATATTAAAACATAAGTGTTCAAGGCTTTCCTATAAGTAATCAATTGTTTACTGCTTAAAAGACTTAGTGTCTTAAGTTTAGGTGGTTGTGATTATTGGCTGTTTCAGGAAAATGCCATAGGGTATCATGGAAATAATGTTAAACTGAGAGCTGGAATTCTACTGACTAGCTAGGTGTGTGGCCATAGTGAGTCACTTAGCCTCCTTGGGCCTTGATCTCTTTATCTACAAACCCAAAGCAGTGGCCCCTGTCTAAGCTCATCCATTTTCATGTTGTTGTTTCTCTTCCTCAGGATCCTGTTCCCAGTGGATTTTCTGCAGGAGAAGTTTTGATTCCCTTGGCTGATGAATATGATCCTATGTTTCCAAACGATTATGAGAAAGTTGTAAAGCGCCAAAGAGAGGAAAGACAAAGACAGCGGGAACTGGAAAGACAGAAAGAAATAGAAGAAAGAGAAAAGTATGATACTAGATGGATTGGGGGTTCTTTGCCTTTGACGTGTTCACCAGCATATTAATGAGGGAGCGTTTGTGCTATTTATAAGGTAAAATTTAACAAAGCTATTTATTGTATTGCAACGCTACAAGTACCAAGAAAGTAAAAGACGTATCAGGTAAGACTTTCACGTAGTCATCACAGTGCTGTGCACTACAGTTATTTGGTCGCTTGGTTTCAGGCGTTTCGTGTCACTTTCCCACACTTGAGACTATCGTCTGCAACTTCACACTCACTGCTGTAGGGTCGATTCCAACTTAACAGTGGCTCTCTGCGGCCGAGTGGAACTGTTCCTATGGGTTTCTGAGACTGGAAATCTTTATGAGAGAGAAAGCCGCCTCCCTCTCCCATGGAGGGTCTGGTGGCTTCAGACTGCTTACTTGATGGTGAAGGGCCCAACATGTAACCTGCCAGGTCACGAGGGTGCCCTGGAGGCTATGATAGTGGAGGGCAAGAAATCAGGGACATAGGAACAAAGAGTGGGAGCTCTGGGGGCCTAGTGGGTAACACCATCGTCTGCTGACGGCAAGGTCAGCAGTTCAATGCCACCAGCCACTTCCACAGGAGAAAGACAAGGCTTTCTACTCCTGCGAGGAGCTATAGTCTTGGAAATCCACAAGGGCAGTTCTACACTGTTGTATAGGGTCCCGATGAGCCAGCATCAAGCTATAGTCTTGGAAATCCACAAGGGCAGTTCTACGCTGTTCTATAGAGTCCCGATGAGCCAGCATCGAGCTATAGTCTTGGAAATCCACAAGGGCAGTTCTACGCTGTTCTATAGGGTCCCGATGAGCCAGCATCAACTTGGTAGTAGTGAGTGATGGGCATGGAGTAATACTTTCATTTTTGAAAAGATAATCATCACTTAGCCTAAAAATCTTGATTTATGGTCACCTGAAATAAATAATATATGCCATTTCCTAATTTATTACTAAAAAGTACAAATATGCTTATTTATCTGTGGTGGACCACTTGTGAGAATGGCACAAGATCGGGCAGGTATTTGGTTCTGTTGTGAACAGGGTCACTGGGTTGGTACCAACTTGATGGCACCTAACGATGACGAGCAGTCTCGGGAAGCCTGACCTACCCGGCCACTCTGGATCGGAATTGACTTGAATGGCACTGGGTGGGTCCACCTTGGCAGGCTAACCCCAAACTCTGAGGGTTCTTTTATCTGAAGTTAATTTTCATGGCCAAGAACAATCAACGTAAGGACTTAAATTAATGTTGAAGAATTTTCCATTGTTACATCCATGGATAAGGTCAGAAAACCTAAAGTATAAATTTGGGGTGCGTTTTAGAAAAATAGTTTAAAAACTTGATGTTTTATCATAGTTGTTACTTTCTTCCCCTATGTGTGACTCTACTAGAAGCGCGATTATTTAAAATACCTAAGATCTTATTCTGAACTTAACCTGTGTTTGAGCAGATCAAATTATGTAAAGCCTCTGGGCATATTTTGTTTGTGAAAAGTATAGATAGCAAAGATTTATTTGAGCTTCTGCCAATAATACTAGATGATTTTAATTAGATAATATGGAAGCCTGATGCTGCTGTCAGGTAAGCGTTGAACTGCCGCTGGACACAAGATCAGTAGCTCAGATCTAACAACAGCTCCTGGAGAGGAAGTTGGGGCTGTTTGCTTCTGTAAAGCTTTACGAAATCCTTGAAGCCCTATCTGGGGTCACTTATGAGTCAGAATCCACGTGTTGGCAGTGGGTTTGGCCTTATTTGGGGAGTGGGGTGTGTGTGTATGAAATATTAACATAATGTTTCCTGATACTTACTGAATCATTTAATGAGTTAAGCATACTCTACAGCACTGAGATTATTAAATGATTACCTATGTTGATATGCTTTAAAATTTAAATCAGTAAATATCAAGGAAGCTTTTTTCTGGCTAGTTACACGGAAGTACCTATTAAATTGTTCAATTTTTCTTTTATGCTTTTTCACTCCTCCTACCTTCATACTTTAGTCTTTAATCTCCTGTCACTCACCTCTGAAAAGAGCTCTTCTCAGGCCCTGCAGAGGTGATTTTGACTCATAGCAGCCCCAAGTAACAGAGAATTTGCCTCACTGTTTTATAAGCTGTAGTCTTCATGGGAGCAAGTTGCCACGTTTTCTCAGTTACTAGCCACTGGGTGGGCTCAAAGTACCAGCTTTTTAGGTAGCAGCAGCTGAGCAGGTGAAGTGTGGCCCCAGGACTCTGGCCGAAAGAGGGCATTTTGAATATTTTCTAGCCAAGAGAAAATCGAGATGAAGGTCTCAGGTTCACAGCTAAGGTGGGCATCTCTGATGAACATCATTTCCTTGTCACAGGAGGCGCAAAGACAGACACGAAGCGAGTGGGTTTTCAAGGCGACCAGATCCAGATTCTGATGAGGATGAAGATTATGAGCGAGAGAGGAGGAAAAGAAGTAAGACATGAGCACAATTTCATGTTGTAGACATGGGACGGTCTGTTTTCATGTTCCGTTAGATGAATAGTTCTGTCGCCATTGGTCTGTGGCTCTCAGTCCACATTTGCATACCAGTGTATTTAGTCTGCACTGTTTGTACATGATTCTCCTTTGAACTCCAGCATCTACTTGATACTTCCAGGATAGCTTGAAGCCTGCACCTGAAGTTGAGTCATCCAGCCTCTTCTCTATAATGCTCTTGAGCACCGAACTGAGAACTCTGTTTTAAGAATTAAGAATTTGAGGCACAGAGGGTTAAGTGTTTTATACAATATAGGTCCGCCTTAAACATTTTATTACCTGTTGATCAACAGGTCATTGTTTCTATTAGTAAGGTGACCAGACATCCCGCTTTTGGCGGAACAGTTCCGATTTTTGGCACTTTAAAAAAGTCCCAATTTATGGAAAGAATGCACGACAAGCTAGGGAGCGGTCTATTTGGTCCATATAGACCAAATTTTTAATCAAGAACACACAAACCCCGGGCCCTCACCCCGGTCTGTGGTGTCCCGCTTTAAATCTGGTCACCTTACTGTTAGCTTATATTAGAATTCCATATCTAGGTTGAAAATTTGTCATCTTATTTTCCCAGTTTACTAGTCTGCTGCCTCCACCCCCCTTTTGTTATAAGGATGGGGTCTCTATGTTAAGGCTTTTGTTTTTAAACAATAATTACAAAGCCTCTCATCAAAACACTGTTGGTTTTATGACTATACTTGTAGCTAATATTATAAAATAATAGCACTATACTCATTATGTATACTGCTATTGGTGGATTGATAATCATATATTAACCGATTAGAAACAGATTTCAAGTAGTCACCCAGAATTTTTTGCTGAACTTATTAGATCAAATCTGCTTTCCAGAATCAATCCAAAATTACTCTGGGTCTAAATGACAAGGTTTTAAAAAAAAATCTTGGCAAGTATTTCAAAACAATTTCTGTCATTCTGTCCTGTTAGTCATGATACAGGGACACTGGTTTCAGAGTAGCTTTAACTGTGAAACAACCTATCACCATACACTATGGTTTTGTAGTCCTTTGTCTTAAACCTCCATTTTATTCCTTTTTGCATTCGTTAGTTATTAAGCCATAATTTATATGTTAGGTGTTACACCTAATGAAAAGTTCATATGATCTTTTCAGTCTCTACTGTTAAGCTTTCCTTCTGGTTGTTGGATAGCAAATAGACGAGACTTCTCTTACCTTTATTGGTTCAATTGCCCAAGGGTAAGTCAGAAAGTATTGCTACTAGGGTGCCAGCCATGCACGGGTGGATTTATTCCAAGCAAAACATGGTAAAAACCTGTCTCTGATCAGTGGGTTGCTGCAGACAAGTTCTCTTAGTGATATACTTGTCTTCATCTCCTTGGAAACAGTGGCTTCTGAGGAGTCTGCTAGAGCTGTTAAATGCAAGGCAGAAGGGTCACCTCAGAAGGTTCTAGTTTCCAAACTATAGATAAAGAAGAAAATCGAAAACCGCATTGGTGAGAAAGAGGCTGGGAAAGGTGCGCAGAGGAATTTTTTTCTGTCCTGGCAATGCACCTGCTTGTGCTGCAAGGCTGTCCTATGAGAATTTCCTGGGGACCTTACCCCATACACTCTATAGCCCTGGTCTTGCCCATTTAGACTTTTTTTCGTTCCCCAAACTAGAAGAACATTAAAAAGGAACATCACGTGATTCCCTCAAGGGTGTCAAAACTGCTGTTTTGACCAAAAGCAAATCAGAAAGTCCTCTTTGAAGAAAGGTTAGAGAGGTGAAACACTGTCTTTAGAAGTGGCCAGGCCTAGATGGAGGCTAATAACCGTGACTTCGCATTTTAATCCTTTTGTGAACTAAAGGTTCTGGTGATGTTGTGGCAATACTTTCTGATTGCATCTTGAGAGGTAGCAGATTGCTCGGGTGTCTCTCAGATCTGGGCTTACTCCCAGGTTAGCACTCCTCCCTTCTGGTCATCAGCGTGTTTGGCATGACAACGCTCATGCCCGTCCTTGCCCCTGGGTTATTACATCTGAGGGACACCGGGGTGTGAAAGTACCGGGTAGGTCAAATGTGCTCGGTTTTTAGTTTCCTCGTTGCTTGTAAGTAACTGCTAGTTCTTTGCCAGTAAATTAGTTTATACACCCTGTTCTGGGTTCATACATGCTTTTTAGATTTAAAAAAAATTGCCTCTTTGGGTGTTAGCAAACCTTTAATCCTGTAGTCAGTTAATTCTTTAAATGGTAGGAGGATATAGAGAGTCATTGACTTTTCTCTTGGGGGAGGAGCTTGGGAGAGGGGTAGTAGTAACAAGACACTTGGCCTGTCCTTGAGCATCTGACATTGGGATCAAGTTTCCATCCTTTAATCCGGCATTTGTACTTTTTTGCAGGTATGGGCGGAGCTGCCATTGCACCACCCACTTCACTTGTAGAGAAAGACAAAGAACGTATGTAAATCAGATCTGTTTCTTCTCTTCTTTTACTTGGATACAGTTTAAGACAAATCATAGCTGTAGTCAGCCAGGCTCCCTGTGTTTCAGGGAAGTGGCCTGCAAGCCAGTTCCTGGCCTCTGGCCCAGACAGCCGTGGGTCAGCCAGGCTGCTCTTCCCTCTCACCCTCACCACTGTAGAGTGCTAGTTTCCAGACCATGCTCTGAAGCAAGGGCTTCTATTCAGTGAGAAGTGAAAAAAAAACCACGTTTTTTAAGTAATCCATTTGTTTTCTCCAACATTTCCCATTTGGGGAAAATTTCATTTGGAGTTAAGTGATAACAAATCATAGATTGTTTTCAGTCCTTGGGTGGGGCAGTTTGTACAGTTTCTAACCTCAGAGGTTGGCAGCTTGAATCCACTCCCACTCAGTAGCCCCACTCATGGAGGGCCTGCCAGTCAGCTTCCATGAATGGGTTCAGACCCCTCCCGACCCTGTGAAGACAGATTGAAACACTGCCCAGCCCCGTGTCTGCCAGGAGAACCCTGTGGAGCAGTTACAATCGGTATTGCACGGGGTTTCATGAGTCGGAGTGGACTTGATGGCAGTGAGCCTTTAGATTTTTTTTAATCGGCTTTTTAGAGATTGTTATATTGGTGACTGTCCACAAGGGAGCAATGCCTTCCTTAACTAAATGTTTCCTGTGTCCAGTGTCCATTTCAGTGTACTTGGGTATGCGCTTAAGCAGCTTGCCAAAGCCTGCTCTCTGCTGACTCTTCTTCCACTGATCTGGCTTGGAAAGTTTGGGTTGAAATTGAACTTTGTGGTATCCTCTAGATCAGCGGTTCTCAATCTGTGGGTCGCTACCCCCTTTGGGGTTGAACAACCCTTTCCACAGGGGGCGCCCAATTCATAACAGTAGCAAAATTACAGTTATGAAGTAGCAACAAAAATAATGTTATGGTTGGGGGGGTCACCACCCCATGAGGAACTGTATTAAAGGGTTGCGGCATGAGGAAGGTTGAGAACCACTGCTCTAGATTATATTCCGATGCATTGGATTTGCCCATACTCGTCGATCCCAAAGGACGTCTGATCGTTTAGTGGGGTACAACACGAGAAAGATGAAGCTTTCTCACCTGTGAAGACTTTTAACCTTAGAAACGCACAGGGGCAGCTCTCCTCTGTCCTGTGGAGTTGTTAGATTACTATATTTTTAAAATTTGCTAACCACCTATTGTGTAAGAAATATCTAAGTATTATTGCTTAGACTGGACTCAGTCCATCCCAGTTGAAACCGATCTGGAGTGGGACTCAAGAGATTTTGATGGCCTGTTAGGCTGGTAGGAAGGACATATGGCAAGAGTCTTAAGGCAAGTGTCTACCAGCTACTGTCCGTGGCAATCAGAGGAGAGCTGGTCTGCACTTGGAGCACACAGAAAAAGAGTGACTAGCACTTCAATAAGCTGTAAAAAGGCGCATTTAAGGAGATAGAGTAGGAGCTACATCCAAATAATTTTAAGTCCATGTTTTAAAAGACAGCTTGTGATTGTAACATTGAACAGATAAATTTCTCATTTGCTGTAAAAATGTAGGTGAAATTAGTTCAAGATCAGTAATACATAAAAATGCAGTTCCAGCTCTGCGTTGTCTTATTTTGGTGAGCCTGTTGTGTTTTTTTTACCCAACAGTACCCCGAGATTTCCCCTATGAAGAGGATTCGAGGCCTCGCTCACAGTCTTCCAAAGCTGCTATTCCTCCCCCGGTGTACGACGAGCAAGACCGGCCGAGGTCGCCAACCGGCCCCAGTAACTCCTTTCTTGCTAATATGGGGTAATGATTTTAAGTGTTCTTGTTAGGGAAACGTACACAGGCCTTAGGAAACAGTGTTAATGTTGATTGACAGCCCTTCCAGTAGCTACAGTCTGCGTTAGAAAGTGAGGATTTTGTCTGTAGAGGGAGATGCCGAATGATCTGTCACACACTACCCTGCTTATTAAATTGCATGGTGCATTGCAGTATAAGATTAGCTGATAGACATTAAGATGTCTTAGAGGGAGGTGGTGTGCTTATCTTATGATGTTTACAGAAATGCCTTGAGCCAATGGCTTTACTTACTCCCTCGCAGTATAGGAGGCTAGAAGTCTAAATTCCAGGTGCTGGCTCTCGGGGAAGGCTTTCTGTCGGCTCTGCGGGAAGATCCTTGTCACCTTTCAGCATCTGTGGGTGTGACATGCTAGGCACGTGGAGATCTCCACGTGCCTGGTGTCACTGGATGCAGGAGGTTCTCAAGGCTGGAACCCCAGGTTCCAAAGACTTACTCCACTCCCAGCTTTTCTTTCTTGGTGGTAGTAGGTTCCTATGATCTCTCCTCCCTTCTCTCTCCTGTTTATCGCTTGTAAAATAAAAAGCATTGTAGGCTGCACCCCAGGGGCGCCCCTTACGTTGGACCAGGGACCGCAACACCCTTAATCCTCTTATTGGCTGTTTGCATCGTGGGAGATTATCTAAAAACTGCCAGGCTCTTCTGAGAATCATGAGCCAGCTAAATTGGTACTTGTGAGGGGACAGCAAACAGTTGAATCCATGACAAATTGTGGGGTTGCACTGCTATTACATACCTTGGTCTAGAACTCTCAATCATTTCAAATATAACTAGCAATTTCCTTGCCCTTGTGTGAAATCATTTTATTTTCAGGCTGACAGTCATGTAGGCCTCTTACAGGTTTTTATTTTTAAGCCCCAGTGAATTTGGCATGCATTTTGGGTGAAAGAATGTTTTACATGCATTCTGGTCTTCTGATGCCACGAGGGGCAGCTACTGTCAGATGAAGGCTTGTCCTAATGCACCGTGTGCTGTGTAGAGGATACTGCTGCCACTGGCCTAATGAACGTGCTGAGGCCAGCAGGGCAGTAGGTCTGCCTGCCTGTGCATACTTAGCCTGCGACTCTTCCAGCCTTTGGAGGGCGCTGCTAGGGTGTGGAGTTGGCATTTGTGGTGCCACGCTTCAGTGGGGTTTTGTGTGTCTGACTTTCTTGACATGCATCCCTCAGAACTGGGACCTTTCATATGATTGGTAGCCTTTAGGCCAGTGGTTCTCAACCTGTGGGTTACGACCCTTTTGGGGGTTGAACGACCCTTTCATAGGGGTCGCCCAATTCATAACAGTAGCAAAATTAGTTATGAAGTAGCAACGAAAATAATTTTGTTTGGGGGGTCACCAAAGCAGGAGGAACTGTATTCAAGGGTCACAGCATTAGGAAGGTTGAGAACCACTGCCGTAGATACTGGTCCGGGAAACTCACAGGGTGGATATGAGTCGGAATCCCCTAGATGGCAGTGAGTTTTTCAAGAGACCCTCATGGTTATTTAAATTAACAAAAAATAAATAGAATTCAGCACGTAGTTCCTTCAGCTGCTTAGGAGTCAGCACATTGAATAACACAAATATAGAGGATGTCCATCTTCACACACATTTCTGGGAAGGAATGCCCTAGAATGTGCCAGAGAGGGGGTAGATGAACTCTTTCCTACTCATGATGATAGTGTTCTTTTTGGACAAGTCTCCTTTTTAAGAGGAATTAAACTTAACTTCTGCTTAAGAAAGATGCCGTGTGGTACCGTTCAATTTTCAGTCTTCTTTTTAGCCCTAAAGCAGCTTGTTCAAGTGGAACTTCAGGGAAACTAAATACATGAAATCCTGTAGGTTACAAATGCCCAAATTTGAAACCGGGTTTGCTGATCCACGTGTAGTGTGCATCTGTAGTCGCTAGGGGGCAACCTTGAGATTTGAGTGCAAGTTTGTTATTGGAGATTCTACCGAACTGTAGAAAAGTATATAGCTACCTTTGTTATGAAACTTTGTGCTTATTTTTTGACACCGTACACACTGTAGTAAACCGTCATTATAAGCTATAGTTGCAGTGCAGATTCTAGAACACAGAGAAAGTCAGGTGTTTTCTAATGGTAGTGACCAGGACGTTTCCCGAGGGCAACTAGAATTTCCCCTCACAGAAAGCTTCAGGATTTGGGATTGCAGACAAAAATGTTAATGTTTCTTTCATCATGAATCGCTTACACCTCATGGCCAATTGGTAATTATTTGTGACTTCCACTAAGTCCTCGTTGAATGTGTATTATCTTTTCAGAAGGCAGTTTATCCTATAAGCCCTACCTATGCTGTAGTTGTTGGTTGCCAGTTCAAGAATCGGGTTTCTTTCTCGTCCTGCTAGCGGCACTGTGGCCCACAAGATCATGCAGAAGTACGGCTTCCGCGAAGGCCAGGGGCTGGGCAAGCACGAGCAGGGACTGAGCACCGCGCTGTCCGTGGAGAAGACCAGCAAGCGGGGAGGCAAGATCATCATTGGTGAAGCTGTAGAGAAAGGTACGGCTCCTGGCACAGGGGCAGGTATAGGCCATTGAGAGAGGACCACCCCTCTTCAGAGAGTAGATCATCCCGATAGTGAGGTGCTCCCCATTCTATTTTGTGGAAACGAAGAATCCTAAGGCTGATCTTTATTTTTCCAGAACAGAGAGCTAAAAGTCCCGAGAGAGAAAAGGGCAGGAAATGAACAATCCCGGGGAGTAATTTTGTATCAGTTGGGCAAAGACTCTTGTCAGACGGATAAAGCCATTGTTTTCGTAGCACGAAGGGCAGAGCCCTACACGGTGCAACCGTGATAGAGCGGCTAGATCTCTATCCTGTGCTTCTCTGCTGTAGCCCCTTTTTTTGCCCTTTTATAAGGGTGGTGATTCCGCATTTCCTTACAGATTAACTGCTCTGAGATCTAATGTTACTTGTAATCTCTTATTAAACGATACCTGGTTAGTTGAGAGTCCTGTATGTTTATGTAGTTATTATAATCTGTTCTGCTAAGGGTGTGTTAGAGTAGTATAAAAATATCTTAGCATTTTAATCGAGGAAATGGAGTTTGTTTTCTTAAAGAAACCTTTTCTGGCACTTGTTGGCGCACCATCTTCGAAAGTAGTCAGCCATCCCATGCATGTTATACCAAAACCCAGCCACTGTCCAGACTGGGAGACTATGGAAAATAAGTTAACCAGCGGCTGATTGATTAACGGCAGGTTACACCAGGCCAGGGAGTATATAAAGAGCCCTAGTGAGTTAAGCAAGCACTGGGCCTGTGGTTTGAGACCAGCAGCAGCTCCTCGGGAGGAGCAGGGGGTGGTCTGCTTCTCCATACACTTACCACCATAGAAACCCAACAGGCCAGTTCTGCTCTGACTTCATGACAGTAGGTTTAGGAACCTTATCCTAATATCCAAAGCCAAGGGCCACCTGTTGGGGTTGTGATTGTAGTGTTGTCAGCCCTTCAGGAATTCAAATAAAAAAATGTTCCCAGGTCTTTACAGAAGGCAAAAGCTTCCATAAATTACTGTAAAAACTTATCTCCCCAAGTGAAGCCAGTGTTTTAATGACAGAAATGGCTCCATTTCCGCTAAGAACACTGTTGGTGCTTGTGGGTAATTCTAGGACACTAGATTGAAATGACAGTAATCGTTGTACTAAGGCTCCGTGCCCCTTGTCAGTGCTGTAACACATCTGATATGTTTTGATACAGATGCTTCCAAGAAATCTGATTCAAATCCATTAACTGAAATACTTAAGTGTCCTACTAAAGTGGTCCTACTAAGGGTAAGAAGCGAAAGAAAGAAACCTGTCTGCCTACCGTGCTTTTTGTGCATCACCCACTCTACCCTTCCCCTGCTGATATGTGCTCTCCCCGCCACTGATGCCCCAAAGGTCAAGAATGCAAGTCATGCCTTAGGATGGGTTCCATGTAAGGAGGGTGGTAAACTCCCTTTCCAGTGGCCCGTTTGTTTCTTTCCTGATAACAACAGTATTTAAGGATGCAGTGGGTGCTTTAAAATGTTTGAAATTGCTGCATGTTTGGCTCAGCTTATGCATTTTGGTGCTTTACGTAGATGGTTTTGTAGCACTTTACCAAGTCCGATGGATAGTTTTGTTTTGTCTTGCTAGCTTTTTAATATTCATGGGATGAAATTTTTTTTAGTATATCATTTGGGGTTAATATAGTTACTTTGCCCAAGTGAAAGTAAGTCATCTTTGTATATACCGCTGTTGTAGATCTGTGAGCCATAGCTGAATTGCCTTGTCTTTGTTTATAGAACATGGTTGGTGCAGGAGAAGTCGATGAAGAGCTAGAAGTTGAAACCAAGGAAGAATGTGAAAAATATGGCAAAGTTGGAAAATGTGTAATATTTGAAGTAAGAAGGTTTTCCTTTAGCCTCTAGGACCTAAATTGTAATTGGCAGATGGCAAACCATTTTCTACACATAAAGGCAGAACATGCCTACTCTCGGTGAATCCCCAGGTGGTGCACACAGCTAATACTCTCAGCTGCTAATGGAAAGTGGAGATTCAAGTCTAACCAGAGGCGCCTGTCTCATAGATGGACAACTGGCTCTACTTCCCCCACATCAGCCATTGGACACCTGGTGGGGAACAAACAGTACGCCAGGAATGGCGGTTGTTGGTGACCAGCTGTGTTTCTCTTAACTCAGTTACAACCATCTCCGACCTAAAGACGAATAACTTCCAGTTTTGTTTGATGAAGAATAGGAATGTTTCACTTTATGATCATGGATTAGCATGCTGGTTCAAGGCCTTGATTGGTGTGTGCTCAGTGGTTTAGCTTCTTGGACATCAATTGGTTTCAAACACTTGGCAGGTATTTTTTTCAGGGCCTGCCACATGACCACTACTATACTAAGAGCATTTGCCATACAGGAAACATATTCTGTGCTGTCACTGATACGGAGGGGATTTAAAAACCTCATGGAGTTAAAAACTAAATGGAATTTCTCCCCAAGTGTTTTGAAGTCCCCGCGTGTAGTAGTTCATTTGAAGAAAGAAAGCAAGCGCATCTAAGATAGTAGAGCATGTTTGGTTGCTGGATGTGGTAGGAGGTTATAAACAGAAAAGTTGAGAGAAGCATTAGATCAAGAAAAAAGACAAGATAGTGAACAGTGTCAGGTGTGAACGGGCCTTACATTGAACAAGTAGGATTTTGACTTGGACTGGAGTGTACATACTGAGATGAGCGTAACAGCTTCTGAGAAAGGGGGCTTTAAATGGAACTCTTGGGGGCATTGTAGGTGGGTTGGAGCCATACTGCAGCGCTCTTCTTTGAAAGACCAAGGACTTGAGACGTCATATGAAAGGCAGTGAGAGTACCGACCCTGCTGCTTTTATATGTTGCACTCCTAGCTGTGGCGGCCCAGCACCTAGCAGTGCCTACTCTAAAATAGGCACTCAAGAAAATTTTGTTGTTGTTGTTGTTTTTTTGTTTGTTTGTTTTTTTAAACATTTTATTAGGGGCTCATACAACTGTTATCCCAATACATACACACATCAATTGTGTAAAGCGTATTTGTACATCATTTCTCAAAACATTTTCTCTCCATTTAAACCCCCGACATTAGGTCCTCATTTTCCCCCTCCCTCCCCGCTCCCCCCTCCCACATGAGCCCTTGATAGTTTATAAATGGGTATTTTGTCATATCTTGCCCTGTCCGACTTCTCCCTTCATCCACTTTTCGGTTGTTTGTCCCCCAGGGAGGAGGTCACACACAGTTCCATGTAATCGGTTCCCTCTTTCCTACCCATTCTCCCTTTACCCTCCCTGTTTTGCCACTCACACCACTGGTCCTATAGGGCTCATCCATCCTGGATTCCCTGTATTTTCAGTTCCTATCTGTACCAGTGTACCTCCTCTGGTCTAGCCAGTCTTGCAAGATAGAATTCGAGTCATGGTAGTGGGAGCGGGGAGGAAACCTTTAGGAACTAGAGGAAGGTTGTATTTCTCATCATTGTTACATCGCACCCTGACTGGCTCATCTCCTCCCCGAGACCCCTCTGCAAGGGGATCTCCAGTGGCCTACTAAGGGGCTTTGGATCTCCACTCCACACTCCCCCCATCATTCACTATGGTAAGATTTTTTGTTCTGATGATGTCAAGAAAATTTTTGATGACACAAATTATACCTAGTTCACTGTTATTTGACTGCTGATATAAAATAAATCATATAAAGCCGGATCCCACATTCAGTGATATTTCAAATGATAACTTACACATTCATTTCATTTCCAGATTCCCGGTGCCCCTGATGACGAAGCAGTACGGATATTTTTAGAATTTGAGAGGGTTGAATCAGCAATTAAAGGTAAATTTGGAGGGCTAAATAGTACGAATAAAAACATTGAATTTCTAAACTTCATAATTAATTGAAGTTTATGCACTGTCACAGGCTCCCTTTACTAACACCCTGTCTCTGTGTTTCCCTTTTAGCTGTTGTTGATCTGAATGGGCGGTATTTTGGTGGACGGGTGGTGAAAGCATGTTTCTACAATTTGGATAAATTCAGGGTCTTGGATTTGGCGGAACAAGTTTGATTATAAAAATGCAGAGCACGAGCCATCACTGCTGACCCTTACGTGAGCTACAGGCTGAGCTGACAAGAGAAAGGCACAGCCTCATGGCTGTTGGGTTCTGAGACTCTTGGAAGGACTTCTAAGATACATGTTGATTGATTCCTTTTTTATTTTGTGGTTTTTTAATATAGTATAAAAATCCTTTAAAAAAAGCAGAACAAAACAATTTGTGTGCCTCTCTGGTTGTTTCTCTTTTTATTGCCACATCTAAGTCGATTACATTTTTGCTAGGATTTCATGATTCATTCTCAAGTGATTCATTGACGCGGTATGTCTTGTACTAATGCCGTCGGAGAAGGTTTTCAGACATGGGGTTACATTAAGTTATCTTTTGCTTTTTAAAAAAATCTGCAAGTTACTAAACTAGCTTCATAAATTCTGTAATACAGCTTCATCTTGGCTGTCTGCCAATGGTGAAAATGCCTGCTTTCTCTAACAGAGAAATTCTTAGGGACTCCGGTTGTAGAAAAAGCCTCTTAACCATCTGAACTAAGATCTGAAGACTCGTGAGCCCACCACAGCTTGTTTGGATGAGTCCTTTGCCATTACACTAAGTCAGACTCAGAGTTCGTAACGAATTTAAGGGTTAAAGGGGTATAGAAATCATGAACTAGCATTTTGCTTTCAGCAATTCAAGCATAGTCTTTAGTGTAGATCAGAAATGGCAAGTTAATTTCAAAACTTAGCAGGTGCATTGGAAATGTGTGCCCAATTATGTTTTGGAAATGGCAGTTCCTTAGGGGTCATGTTTCTGCTGCAATGCGTTGCAGCAATATTAGTTATTATATGTGATTTTAAATCTTATAAAAATCAGTTAAACAGTACTTAACTGCCAATGAGTACAATTATGCAAAACCTGTACCGCTGAAAGAAAGGCAATGGTGTGTATGGTTTAAAAATCTAGCCAGACCACACACAAAAAAGCAAAAACGACTTAGTACTGAGATTCATTGCCAGTGCAGGAGATATTTCCAGAATATACTTGTGCCTGTGTCTGTTCTTTGCTTGCCCGGATCTCAAACTGTGACTGCTTAAAGACATGGACCTGTGTTGTCTCTTTAGGGTCTGACAACATGACAACTTATTGTGACCCTTAACGTGGGGAACACACTCAACACACGTCTTTGCATCCCTGGACTTGGTTTGGAGACATAGGAATATTCTGACCCTTTTTAAAAAAGGATTTCTCATGTTTTTATTTAACATAAATAAAAGAATAACATTTTCTCTTTTGTGGTATTATTTCCTGAATCAAATTGAACTAACAATACTCCACCTAGTATGGTAAAGATATTAAGTATTCTATAAAATAAGCTGGGGTTAAAGAATACATGGTGAAAGCATTACGTAGCTGAACTTTGTGTAGGACGTAACCAAAAGCCGCCCAGGAGTGTGGATGATTTTGCTTGTGGGGTTAGATACATAAATATCCAAATGCGCTATGCTGATTATTACAATGTGCCCGTTTATAAAAACTTTAATGTACTTAAAGGTATGAATCCCGAACCGCCCATAGTGCTTGCAGTATTGTTATGCTTTTATCGAGAACATTGTTTTTGTTTTGAAGAACTTCTGTTGTTGAGAATGTGCATAGTAAATACACACAAATCCAAGGACTGCATGCTCAATTCACAGACGAATCTTTGAATGTACATTCATTCTCATCTTTGTTATTTTTTGTTTTAAAAGTTTTATTGGCATATACTTCGCACATATAATTTAATTGTTCGATCATAAGATTGGTGCAATCACCCCACAGTCCATTTCAGAACATTTTCGTGTGGTACTCACCTTTGTTAGCTTCCCATGTCCCCCCATCCTCCCCTGCCAAGCCCCTGGGCAGATCACTGTCCAGTTACTGTATAAGTACGTTTCTCCTAGATTTCAAAATGGAGACAACAGAAATGAACAGTGACTCGACAAAAACCCAGTCAAAAGGAAAGAACGTGTTGACGGAAAACTTCAGAATCCAGAGGAGATCAAGGTTTTGTTTTGTTTTTATCATTTTATTAGGGGTTCATATCACAATCCATACATACATCAGTTGTGTAAAGCACATTTGTACATTCATTGCCCTCATCATTCTCAAAACATACACTCTCCACTTAAGCCCCTGGCATCATCTCATTTTCCCCACCCTCCCCGCTCCCTCCTCTCTCATGAACCCTTGATAATTTATAAATTATTTTGTCATATCTTACACTGTCTGACGTCTCCCTTCACCCACTTTTCTGTTGTCCGTCCCCCAGGGAAGAGGTTATATGTAGATCCTTGTAATCAGTTCCCCCTTTCCAACCCACCCTCCCAGCATTACCACTCTCACCACTGGTCCTGAAGGGATCATCCACCCTGGGTTCCCTGGGTTTCCATTTTCTATCTGTACCAGTATACATCCTCTGGTCTAGCCAGACTTGTAAGGTACAATAAGGTTTACATTTAAACCTATGTTGCCACATTCAAGTTTACCATGCTCTCTTTCACCTGAGGCTTAATTATGTGGTCCCTGCAAATGGATTTTGCGCTTCCACTGTCATCCATATCCTCCTGCAGGTCAGGTGTTTACAATTTAAGTTCTGCTGTCATTCCATCCAGATTTTTACTATTTACAATGTTTGGGTTACACAAGCTTGTGAGCTTCTTCCATGTGGACTGTATTAGGGTTCTCTAGAGAGATAAAACCAGAATGCTAATAATTTTATAAATATATATTTAGATAGATAAAAGAAACGGTTGTTAAATTATAAAGCAGTTACACAGATAGATAAGAAATAAACAGTTAAATTATAAACAAATGGCTTAGTACAATTCAAATGTGTTAGTTGTGAGACACTGGCAGTTCTTCAAGTCTTGAGGGCCGCCAGGTAGTCCTCTGTAGAGAGACTCAGATTCTCCGGGCACCGGCAGCCAACAGCAAGGCAGGTCACCAACAGTCCCCAGCTCGAGATGTAAATTCCAATCGTGTGGCGAAGCAGGTCTTGAAGGAACCTCAAATTACAGCGACACAGTCCACAGGTTATGTGTCCCACAGGTAGTGTAGCTTGTAAAGTGAGGCACAGAGCAGGCAAGGCAGCCGCACACTGGTCCGACGATCAAAGAGTGAGAGAGAAGAAAAGAGGCTCGCCAAGCCATTTATCTCTCCGCCCTTCAATTAATCCCACCTGTGTTTATCGGCCAGGCTGGCACAATCAACTAACTACCTGATAGACAAGTTGACTCCTCACTTAGACGGCTGCTTGTTTGAAGAAAACTCCGTTAAGACCCCAGGATCTTAGTGACTGCCGGCCGGCCGCCGTCTCATTTCTTTGCCACACTTTTGCTATAGCTCCCATCTCTTCAGTGATGTCTTCGTGAGCGCAAGCATCAAGCAGGGCCATTTCACAAGAACTAATTGTTCTCGGGCTAGAATTAAGTGTGAGCTCAAAATCCATGCTTTATGAGGACATTATTGCTTTGTATTCAGATGATAATGGACAACCTGAGAAATGCAAGTGACATCCCACTATGATCACTACTCAGAGGGGCACAGCTCGGTGAGTATCTTTCTCCTCAAGCTTCCTGTTGTTTTTAATGATACATAGATACAGTAATCATTCTGTACTTCATTTGTAATTTTCAATATTAACCTGAAATAGAAATGTTAGGTGTAGTGGCCATTCTTCATTCTGAGTGGCCCAATTTAAGATCTTGTGAGGGATTTTTCGAGTTAACCCCCCTCCCTAAATTAGAAGCTAGAATCCTGCTTTCTCAGCCACTCTTGCAACTGAGGCATGTCCATGTACTCCAGATTGGGAGGGAATGTGGTCAAGAGCCCATTCATGCAGTTTGCGAGGGCAGAGTGGCCACAGTGCTGCCTAAGATTTGGGCAGCAGTGGCAGAGACCTTGTCCAGTAGTGGGGTGCACCAGAGGTCTGGTGTCAGTGGCAGGGCAGTCTTTGTGGAGCCGCTTCTAGATGTTCAGAAGTTTTCGGGTTGTGTTCAAAGCAACCAAGCTTGACCTGCCTGGCGATGCTGTTTGCTATCTAGTACTCTTTTGTTGTTGTTGTTGTTGTACCTTTTTGTTTTGGTCCTGCTTAAATACACCATGAACACCAAGGAGCAAATTTGCTATGTGAAATTGCAAGTGACACAGTAAACGATGGAGGCGTCCAGGGGGGACTAGCAGGGACGCAACTCTGCTGGGCTGGAATTTACTGATGCAGCGCTTGCCCATTGCGTTCTGGGAGGGATCCAGACCAGAGTGGTGTTCAGGGAACGGAAACTAGAGGATGCTGCCCTGCTCTGGGCACATCTTAGGAAGTTGTAGAGTTGTGGTGACATGTGTTTTGATGCCAGCCTGCCCGGGTTCAAACCCTGGGGCTACCTACCACCTGCTCACTGGCCAGGTGCCTCAGGTCCTTTGTGTGGAGATGGAAAATGAGAACCCTAACTCCCAGGATTGTGAGGGCAACGCCATGAATCATGCCTAGAAACCTGTAGCACATGGTAATTGTCAATCAAGCACAAGCTGCAAAACTGCAAAGAGGGATCAAGTCGTATTTGAGGGTGCTGATTTCAAAGCAGAGTGAAGAAGAAAATCCTTGCTAAGAGACAGCCACCATCCGTCAGACAGCTGCATCAGGCAAACGGCTGTGTTTCACATTGGTGTCATGCCTAGTGTTTCAGATAACAACAGGGTGGTGAACAGGTCTCCGGGGTCTGGAGTCCCTGCGTGGTAAAACTGCTTTAAGCCCTTGCCTGTTAACTGGAATGTTGCAGGTTCCAGTCCACTCAAGAGTCATCTCAAAAGAAAGGCTTAGAAGTTTACTCCCGGAAAACCAATAGAAAATCCTATTGGGCCTTCCAGAGGTACACTTGATACACATGAGGTCAGCATAAGCCAAAATCCACTTGATGGTAACTGGCCCCGCCTGGGACAAACCAGGAAGAGAGACCTGGTGATCAACGTCAGAAAGGTTAGCCAGTGAAAACCTTATCCATCAATCTGATGCAGTGCTGGGAGATGAGCCCCTTAGGTGGGAAGGCACTCGACGTTGACAGTGGCTGGGGCAGAGGACTCTAGCAGGCCAGCTATGGTGGGGACAGTGTGAGACCAGGCAGTGCTTCCATTGAAGTGTGTGAGAACATCATGAATTGGCGAAAAGCTTGCAATTTGCAATCTAAATTGATTGAGAGTCCTGAGAGTCAGCATTCTTACTGATTTGGGGGGTGGGGGTGGGAACGAGACCTAACAAAAAACGACCATAACTGAAATTAGACCAAGGGGTCCAGCCACAGCAGCAGCTTTAGCGAGCGTGGAGATGGGGACGATGCAAAAATGGAATCAAAGGTGTCGCTTTTAAAAACTTCAAACGGTGGTTTTTAATCACCTTACAAGAGCAATTAAGAGAAGGGCCAGAGCAGAGACCAGCTGTCGTGAGTCATCTTTTCAGCAGGTTAAGTTAGCGTGGAATGCGCTGCTCTGATCCCCTCTGCCATCAAGATAGGTCCTGTGTTGACGACAGAGATCTTGTCTGTCTGAGCTGTCTTACTGGACCGCATGGGGCCCCGTTTAAGCTTCATGGAGGAATTTGCTTTTCAACCAGAGACATGAGATTTGCTTTTCACCCAGAGATATGAGAGTGGAATTCAATAACGGAGTGACTTGAACTTTCTTCCACTGGGGTCCCAAGTGGGTGGGTGGCGGGGGCATGGTGGGGGGCAGTGGAGGGGGAAGTTAAGCGCTTTGAAGTACATACAGCAAGAATGATTTCTATTTGTGGGGAATGGAACCAAAGCGGTAGTCAGACACTGCATAGCCCAACATCTGTCTGCACGCCCCTCCCCTCTATTTGATGCCTCTTTTTAAAGGCTGGAAAAGCGAAAATCTTCTTGGAGCGGGGCATGGGCATGGAACATTTCCGCCCAATAAACCATGACCAGGGGTGGGCATTTCTAGAACCGAGTGTTCTCCTTGCTTAAAGAGGCAGATGCTCTACTCTTGCCCTCTGCCCTGCCTTTCAAGGGGGGGGGAAGGGGTGTGCTATTAGCACATGGCGGCCTTTTAGTGACCGCCTGGTGATTAAGCAACAGGCCCAGAGGAGCGGCTTTGGTCAAGGCAGTGAGCTGCGACAGCTGCCCTGGCCTGAACAGCCCCAGGCGGGAGAATGGTGGCAACAGGCAACGCCTGTGAGCTGGCTCCACTCCAGCTTGAAGCGGAATTCCGTCTTTGCTGATGCAGGCAGCAAAGC